TGTTACATTAATTTGATGAAAAATGGTGTAATGAGAAATAAAAATCAACCATCGGTCGAAAAATTTCCAAAATTTTTAAGGAATGACAATACAACAAAAACATTTTATTTTGTTGAACGAATCTAAAGCCTCACCTGAAAATATCGAAGAATCGTATGCTAATATATTTAATGGAGGGAGCCAAGTAGGTATTACGATAACATGTATAGTGTAGTCGGTCAAATGAATATAGTATACATTATTATACGGAATGATTTATTGAAAACTTATACGTTAAGCATAAAAATTTAAAATTTATTATATCCATATAATTGCGATAAAAAAAATTATACACATAGTATAATGTATAGTAAAAAAAATTTATACTTGCAATAAATAACTTCGATTAATAAGAGTTATAACATAATCATGGAAGTATTTTAACATTGGTTATGTTTTTTTTAAGCATTTAATGAAGATATCTTAATAACACTTAGCTAATTTAAATATTTAAAGCTTTTTTTGGATCATATTATTTATAAAATTCGAAAATGACTTCGTTAAAATTTGAGAATTTAATTTAAAAAAAAATAAATAAATAAGAAAGTGTTATTGTTAGGTTAACAAAACAATAGATCATATAATAATAGATATTATACTAGAAATTAGTTTCAAAGGAATCTTTGAAATACTATTTTGGTGACAAATCGTAAAAAAATGAGAGTTTGAATAAATTTGTAGTTTTCTGTGCGAAAATTGAAAAGCGTAGTAATAAAAAAAACCAATTATTCATAAATAGAATCGAGCAAATTATTTTGTGCTTGGATTCCAAAATTAGTATAAATTGCATTAACGGTACTTATTAAATTGAATAATTTAGAATTATTTTGATTTAAAATTGACTCGAAATTAATTAATAATTTTTGGTTTGAATGGAAGTAAGCCGGGTGTTCTTAAAATTACACAAGGCAATTGAAATTTTATAGGCTAAATAAATTAATCTTTCTACATAAGCAAGAGGCGTTACAGATTTAATTAATATCATTGTTATAACGACCTTTAGCGGTTTCGATGAATCTTGAAAAACTTTAATACGGAAATCATAATATTCTTGTATTAACAGATTTGCTTTCAAATGCATTATAAGATAAGATGGATGTTCTTGCAGCTCAGTCGTTTTTTAAAAAATTTACAGTATAAAGATTTACGAATAAGAATTCAATCTCATTTATTTATTTATTTATTTTTTCGTTGAATGATAATGATTAATTTTAATTTTAAATCCATTTAATAGGTGAAGTCAAAATCCACAAAATTCTATTCTCGCCGTACAGCAGTTATACATAATGTATAAAACCTGATTCAGATTATTCATTATGTAAATAATTACCATAAAAAAACATGCATATCGTATAATTTAAACCACAAAAGTTATATTTTTCGGTATACACATTTAATAGGCTATATTATACGCTTTACTATATTCGGAGCAAGTTGGTATCTAACAGTTACAGCTTCTGCAGTATTAATCTCTTAAAACTCACTTGTACTTGCTTCTAGTATATATTTTAGATTAATTTTTTTCGGATATTGATAACGAATGTATTTTAATATCTGGTTGTAAACTTAATTACCAGCTCCGAGTCCCGGAAAACTCAAAATTGCATATTTTACGACCTGGTTAAAATTGCTACTAAAAAAATTTCGAATACAACACGATTGTAAGAATGTGTTAAATTCTTATAACCAAAATAATGAAAAAAAAGACGTTCGAATAAAATAAATATAGTTTTTAATAAAGAATAGCATTAAGATATTTATTATAGCTAGTATAATTACTAAAAAATCTGGTAATGAATTTTAATACTGTAGCATTTAATTTCTCTCACAGATATTTCACAAATTTGATCACTAGACTGCAAGATATTCAATTTGTCTAAATACCTCTCTTCGTACAAATAACCTTTCTGTTTATTTAAATAGCGACAATACGTAATTAAATTTAGTAATAATAATAATAATCACTATTCAAACAGTTTGCTACAAATTTAACGACTGGTATTGTAATATTTATAATTTAATATATAGATAAAATTAATGATGCAACATTAAAAATTTATATAAAAAATTTGAATTTTTCATTTCTTAAAAAAATAATTATGAGACTTTCAATTAGGCTATTAATTAATAATGATAATCATAATTTCGAATTCATCAAAATCTGTAAATATTCCTAAAAATGTTAATGTAGTTGGTAACCTTGGAACTAATTGAAAATACTCCAGATAATATGAGTTATTCGCATTAATATGAAGAGATATTTAAGAGATAATTGCTGTAGAAAAGAATATAAAAATTTGATCGAATTTTCATTTAAATTAGAAATAACCAACTCTTTAAGATTTGAACAATGAATTATTAGTACATTTGCAGTTTCTTTACTTAAGTCATTCAGATGTAATACTTCTAGAGTTGATCCCCACATAGAGATTAAAGTGATCAAAACAATATAATTTCTAATTTTTTTAAATTCAATCTGTTCTTAGATAGTGAAGAACAATGTTTTAGTGTCATTCCTCGACAGTGATTGCAAGTAAATCTAACAAAGTTCTGGCATTTAGAAATATTTTCCATGTTATCTAGTGAAATTGTTGAAAAATTCGTATGATTAAATATAAACTCTTTTAAGGAATTCCTAACATATTTTAATGCTGGAAAAATTTTAATATAAATTATTTCTTCAACAGATTTGACAGTATATTCAGTATTCTTCAATAAGGTGGCTCTTACTGTACATCTATTATAAAGAAGACATGTTACGATCTTAGTTATCAGATGAAGGTAAGGTCAACTATTTTTATATATACCTTCATAAAATGCTATGTAAGCAGTTTGATTATCATCCCATTCATTTCTGTACAATCAATTAGAAAATATTAAATTTTTTTTAGAATACATAATTTAAAATATATTTAAATTATGAAACTTACTTTAAAAGCTCAAATTCGGCAGTTTTTCCACAGTACCAAAAAAGTTCCCTAACTAATAAAAACAACTGGTAAATAAAAAAAAAATTGCATTTTAAAAAGAATCCTTTTAATATGCTTTTTTAACTAACTTGTTCTTTCATCTTTGTAATTTGGAATATTATACACATAAATGCTCCTACTTATGATAGGGCTACCGAGTTCTATTTTTTCTAATTTTTCATTGGATTTTATAATATTTACGAGTGTATCACTTTCATCACTAGGTAAATAAGATTTAATATTGAGTTGTTTAAGATAGGGACATAGTTTAGACGTTAATGCATTCATTAATTCTATTATGTTCGTGCTAGTGGAATTTTTATAGCTACGAAGATTAACATGTAGTGTTTTTAATTGTGATATCCCTGGCATAGCGTTCAAGATTGTCGATACTTTCAGAAAAATAAATTTATTATTGATTAATAATTCTTCAAGTTTTTCACTTTTCCGAAGAAACATTGTAATCAAAGATTCCATAATAACATTATATGCTAATGTCAACATTTTTTCATCATAAAAGTATTTAATAAGGCCTTCATGCTTAAGCCATGTTACTACCCCACTTCCCATTAAACTAGTATCAAGAACCTTTAAGAAAGCTCCATATTCAAAAGATGGTTTTGGGATGTTTGTAAGTGTTATACGAAGTGAGATTAGCGGTTTTTTTTCTTCGGGAGATAATGTTGAAAGGTATGTTCGCACAAGTGATTTAGAAACCTTTCTTTGTAGCGGATTGCTCCATAATATCGGTATTGTGTTTAAACACCAAAGACGATTAACAAGACAACATGAGAACAAACTTTTACTATCGTTTGCAATATTATTAAGAATTGCGTAAATACACTCGCTCGGTATTTCTTTCATGGTAGATAAGTACGTACGTACAGTACGTAGTTGGAATGTAACCTTAAAATCTTATGAGGATCACAAATATACATTTTTGCATTTGATTATGTAACCCTTCATTTGTGCTGGATGATCAAGTGATGGTCCGGAATGAATATTCGGAAAATTTTTTTCTTTCATTGATTATGTACTTCATGCAAATATTAATATATACAGTTTTATGAACGTTTAAAGCCTTATCATAATCAATTTTGTTTGCATGTTCTTTGATAAATTATATATATATATATATTTTGGAAGGTTTTCTTTTTTTACGTGCTTTCATTATAGTTAGGTCGACATTTTTTTAGAAATTTTACGCTTTTTTTCATCGGAATGATGCTGATAGTTCTCCATTTCATAATGATTCGGTTTTTACTATAGAATTTCATTGACAGGGATAAACTGCCAGAGGCTTTTTCATGTTATTTCTTAGCCGCATAGTAGTCTTTGACATTTCCTAAATTAGCTTAATAAATTTAAGCATTTATTTTGCTGTTAAGGCCCATATATAAATCCACATTAAGCTGTCCAATATTTATTTTTTCAGATTTAACCATTGGTTCAAGTTCAATATAATTTTTTATTTTATAAGAATTATTTGATAGAAGTATTTTTTGGAGTGAGTAGGTAAATCAGACAAGTTGAATGAATGCGAAATATGAAGCGAAATATAAAGCGAAGTATGAAACAAAATATAAAGCAAAATATGAAGCGAAATATAAATAAAATATGAGCGTAGTTTATTTAATTAATCGATGATGTCATCAATCACCCATAAAAATTTGTATCAGGTTGGGTTGGTATAGTCCAAAATATAAACCTTCAAATTTTTTTTATCAAAGCTTTATTTTTCAATTATAATAATATAAAACAATATTAATGCAATTTACAACATATATCTAATGCATAAAAACAACTCAAATAAACTTGAAATTTAAGTTCTAATAGTTTATTTATTTATTTTTTTTTTAACTATGACGTTCTTTGATAAATTATGTACACTTTCCGCAAATGATCCTTTTTTACACCCCTTCATTTCAGTTGCTCTATATTTCTTTCTGAATATTCATTTGACAGTAATGAGAAATTTTGGTGAAATTAATTTGTTTATCGATAAGAATTTGGATTTTTCGTATCCTTTTTTTTTTTTAATATTCAATGCCGGTGAGAAGTTGGCTATAAAATTATTAAAAAATTTAAAATAATAACCTGATTTAAATTTCTTTTTTAGACGGCGGAAATTTGCATATTTTAACATTATGGCTTTTAATTTATGATTCATAAGCTAGGAAAGTATTTAGCGAAACAGCATAGGTATTCGATGTTTACTAAGTAATAATTTGATGTTTTTTTTGCTTAGAAATAAGATATAACTGCTTAAATTTAAAATACATCCTTGTAATAAATTTTTATCACTTTTTGTAGAAAAAAAAACAAAAGAAAAATATTATTGTCTTATTATAATTTAAATAATGGTAAACTAGTGACAATACGTAACCGAAAATATCAGATATATATTATTACGTAAAATGCATTTTTTTTCTAGTTCTGAATGTTCATGCCGTTCTAAACCAACTTTTCGGACGATTACCCAATCCCAACCTGGTACACATTTTCCAGATTCATTTGTGCTAGCTTTATGGTGCATTAATCAGTCATAACATTTCTTTTATTCAGTACAGTTTGTGTTTATTAACTGTTCTGTTTTTATAGATTTCTATTTTCTTTTTTGCGAATTGATATAATAAAAATAGAAACAGTCACATTCTCTATACCTAACTAGCATAAATTTTAAAGTTTATAGTTCGTTATATTCAGAGTTCATTGTGAAAAGTTCATTAAAAAAAGTATATTATAAAGTGAGCTGACTGTACTCTGCACGTAATTATACGTAGTATATGCACTAATTTCGAATGTATATAGTTAACAAAAGCTTATAAAATTTGGGTTTAAAATAATCTCTTTAATAATTAAAGAATGCTAGATTGTAAAAATTGTTTTCTGACTATAAGATACATGTTTTTATTTAATATATTCCTATTTATTTGAAAATTCTGAAAATTTATAATTTATAAACATAAAAATAAAAGATCATAAATAATTTCTTCGTATTCAGCAATGATAATGCGTACGTATTAAAGACAAAGGTTTGAAGAAATGAAAAGAAAAATATACTATTTGAATACAAAAAGAACACGATTCAAATAAGAAATGGTTCTAGAAAATGATATTTTCGTTATGCTGAAATTTATAATTTTACTGTTATTATTGTTAGAATTTTTTTTTTATTTGATAATAGAAATAAAATATATACTACATCCCAAATCTGTGACAGGTTATGTCGATCAGCGAATCGAAAGAGCTTAAGTGCAGATTTTAATTTACTTTATATTTGATATTTAGGTATACAGTGAAACCTCCCTAAGTGCACCCTCCCTAAGTGCACACCTTCTTTAAGTGCACACTATAACCCAGTCCCAAGCTTGGGACTTAATGCTAAGTGCACCCTCCAACTTCTGCACGTGCATAGGTTTTTACAGCCCGGACCTATACGTGCACCCTCCAACTTCTGCACGTGCATAGGTTTTTACAGCCCGGACCTATACGTGCACCCTCTATAAATGCACACACGTGACCGACACAAATATTCTACCAATTAGAATGGTAGTTTTGTCGGATATTT